AAAAAACTTCCTTTGAATTTGGTTACACGAATGTTATATTTAAAAATTAAAAACACAAGGGAGAGAAAGCATTTTTTAGTAAAAATGAGAAAACATTAGGGAAGATGAAAATAATAAAGAAGTTGTACCGAGAATACGATCCCTACTTCTCTACAGCAGGTTGTGTTCATTTACAATATTTTCTGTTAAATGTTTATTTTAAAATGTTAAATTGAGAACAATAACTGATAAATAGTCTATTATTTTACATACTATTCTTGTGAACAACGAGGTATGCATTTATCCGATTTTATTAGCAGTATTCAAGGTTCAATTAGTCCTATCTAGAGTGCAATTTACTACAGGATATCCATCAAATAGAAATGCTATTCTAATCAGTAAAATTAAAATATTCTTTAATATTAGACGTCACTTTCTCATAGAAATATTGAAAGTTTTATATCATTATCAATGACATAGTATACTTATGGTAGATTTATATTACAATGTAACAAACGAAAGAAATTAGCGTTTAGGAACTTCGGCAATAAAAAAGTATATTGCTTTCAATTCGAAATTTTAGAATAAGTGATATTCCATTATTAAAAATGTCTATTATTTTCTGAAGGGCGTGTTTGAAAACGCTTTACTTAATTTCATGCGGTCAAATATTATAACATATTGGTAAAATTTCTAAGATATGTTTGGGACAATTTGAGAACTTATGTGACAACGATGCCAGTTTGAATATTGGGGTTGGGGCACGTCGCCCTCGTACTTTCTAGTAAATAGTGTCTTTACCATGAATACAAGTAAAGAGTCAGTTTGTGATGTTCAATTCTCGTTTATTAAGTACATACGAATATTTTTCATGATGCGAGTATTTTTTTACAATATTTGTCTGTGCGGGATAATCGCTAAAATGGAGAAATCGATTCGGAAAGACTCTTCACTATCCGGTAGATTATATGTCTCAGACAATTTAAACTACATTATCAGCTCTTAGGGTGAGCGCAATAAAAATATATAGTTGTGCGACTTTACTGTTATTGAAAACAAGGTAGTCAATTCGTAGTATTCAAAAAAGTATGCATTCAATACGTAGTATTGAAAAAAGGATGTTGCAGAAAATCGATTTCAATATTTTACAGAAAATACACGTTTTGGGGACCCTTACGCCGAAAATAGTTGTGTTTTTAACGTCAAATCTGTCTGTCCTTCCTTTGACGGTCCATTCGTCTGTCTGTCCATCCGTCCATTTTTATATTACAGTAGTGCCTAAATTATTTGCAGGATATTTTTTCAAAACGTACATTCCCCGGTCGATCTGGCCTGGCTCGAAACTCTGCAGTTTTGAAATCCATTCTTTAAACTTTGGGGGTACTTTACAAGATGCACCTGAAACTTGTTAAAAATGTTCTTAAAAATAGTTTAAATTTCCCTCCCCCATCAAATAAAATTATTATTTATATTCCTGAGTTAGAAGACCGACGGTAAGCGCGATGTAACTGGTCTAACTGTTCTCAAACTACTGAACTTTTCTGCAAGGACTTAAGAAAATACACTGAACAACCTATAATTCTCAAAAGCTTTCAGCGTACTGATAACAATCCTGGGTTGATGCCGCGTAGAGATAAAGCGAGGTCGCAGTACATGTTTTCATTTGAAGAACAAATTTTAATCAGAGAAAATCTCTATCTTGAATATTGTATTTGTAGGAATTATCTACGTGAAATAAAAAGAAAATGAAAGTTGCGTCTTACCTTCGACGAATATCCAGGAGGTGAAAGAGCGTGCGCTGGGTTTTGCCTCGACGTACTGCGTGCTTCTGCTACCAAACCTTCGAAACTCTTCCCGTAGTTTTTTGTTCTGCTTCTCAGCGCCTTTAGTCCATTTTTTCCTCCGTGGTAGAAATTCTCCTGGTCGCCAAACAGAATTTGGTAATCTTATGAATGCAGGGATGGACCCGAGATGCCTGAAGCCATCGGTAACCTCTCTCCCGGGTGCCAGCTCGAATCCATGCATTTTCTCATATCCAACACAATTATCGAAAGATTTCAAAGAATTCGGACAACCGTGAGATTAAATCTAGTTCAGTGTAACAGGAAAACCAAAAGTTCTACAAATAAGTTCTATAAATTTCAAAAAGGTTGCAAAGAAGAGAGTCTACCATTAGAATAGTAATTGTCAAATGCTATATTTTATACATTGAAAATTTACAAAAATATTCTTCTTCATTAATTAAATTACTCTTTTTGAGAAGTACAATTCTTGAGCAAATAATTACCTCATTTGTTGGGTATTGATATTTTTCCAATTCGAAGAAATACTTCCATTCAATTGCTGTTAACTGGCTAAGTTACTCATGCCCATTGCACTCATGCTCTTGCCCATTTACAAGGGGCTACATATTTTACTGATAAAGCTGAGGACCAAATGATGATGCATGCAGTAGATGAGTCGTCATCATATCATTTTGTGGATCAGAATTCAATATGTTGAGAGATCTCGATATGCACTGGCCTACGCCTGCCCCTGAAGTCGGGTCTGTAGTTATTTTTAATTTCAAGACTTCTGATATTTCGCTACACATAAACACTTATCACAAAACAAAAGCTGATTAGTTTAAGAATACTAGTTTATACAATCACAGACCAAAGACAGAACAATACTCTGCACATGGAAGACCGAACCTAGACTGACTTGGCCTCTCCGGTGCTAACGAAAGCGACTACTGATAACGAAGCGCTCGGCTCAGCGGTCGAAACGAGAATCATCCGGCCGCTTCGTGCGGAATACCTTTGCGCGGTGACAACCACTCTAGTCATCGCTGTTTTCGTACAATCGAGCCATTACGACCCCGTGAACTTGTGAGGGAAAAGGTGTATTGTGTTTGTATGCATCCTGATTGACTGCTTTTACTGGGTTTGCTTTTTTGTTTGTTTGATTGTTTTAGTGATTCCGGACTCATCAACTACCAGGGTCATTAGTCCCGTAACTGTAATACATGTTTTTTCTCGGGAGGTGGCGGTGATCTTTCCCTCGCTGTATGGCGAGAATCGGCGCCGACCTACATTATTTAGCGGGGTTTTCCCAAACCAGGTATCTCCTTCAGCGGGGCACCGCCCCAGCCGAGACAAGCTCTTAGCTCCTGAAGGGTCTCCCAACATGTGTAGTAGTGTAGTGCCTGTTAGTGTAAGTGTGTGTGTGTGTGTGTGTGTGTGTCGATAGGACAAGGAAGAGGAAGGTGAGATCGCGCGCGGTCCGTGGCCCATTTGTTAGGGTACTTCACCGGCATTCGCCTGGTGTTGATCGGAGAAGCCACGGAAAACTACCGATCAGAGCAGCCGGCCGCTAGAATTCTCCTTGCTAGTTTGTTGTTTTGTTTGTTTGTTTGTTTGTTGTTGTTTTCATTTTTCATTATCATGCACTATAGAGGGAAATGAAGATATCGAAATCAGCAGAAACCAAAACTAGTCCGTTCACTTAATTTTAAGACTATATTTTGACTAAATGACAATTTGTGCTTTTGACCGTGAAATGAAGACTTTTTCTGAGAATTTATTTGCTAACATGGAAAAAAAGTTTTTTAATAACTGGAATTTAAAAAAGTTAACTTGTTTTTTAATTAAAATTGCAACATTTTAAGATAACCTTCACGAAAATTGGTAAATGTATAATCAGGAATTCTGTAAAATTTCTTCTGGCTCGCCTGTACATTCTCTGACGAACCATTCTCATCAGAGCGGATTAGTTGAGATACACGAAACCCAATTATTTTTTTTTTATTCAAACACCTCTTCTACTGGTGAGAGCGAAGGCTTCCGCTGCCTGAGTCAGCATTTAACTGGCTGTCCGGGTGACGCCGCGTCCATGGTGCCGACGTTTCGGTCGCCATTCTACGACCTTCCTCAGAGCGTAATGCGGCGTTTGCCATGGGCGCGTCGTCACCCGGACCGCCAATTAAAAACCTCTTCTACTGATTGTTAAAAGCGCGGAGAGTACTTTGGCAATCTAACAGTGCGCAATAGCTAGCGACGGTCCTGCAAGCCTGCTGCGCGCTAAGCGATAACTCAGGCGTCGGGGGCAACCGCGCATAGAGCTGCGGTGCGAACGCGCGCTCGGCGGCAGGGGCCCGTGACAAACAGCCCGAGCTCGCGGCGCGCCTCGCTCCGCGGCTCCGCGCGGCTCATTTTAATGTATGAAAATGACATAACGATTATATACGCAGCGGCGAGCGCGGTCGCCGATTTTAAAATGAGCCCGATACCAGCGCTACACGCGACCATTATGCGCATAATTTAGGGATGCAATTCCAGAAGCTCTACAAAACCATTGTTCAGTCAAGTGGTAACAACAGTGCCTTCTGACGGTCAGAGTTATGGTCACAGTGGCCTGCGGCGCGAAAATGGCTGTTTTAAATTTTTGCGTAAGTTGAGGGACACGTTGGTAGGGATTGCCTGAAAGTAAATTTTGTGGCACATTTTTGTAAATCGAACTACTGTTTGTCGAGAAATATTCGTTCAAGTCAAATTATCTTACTCCTCGAATTAGATTGCGTTGTTCCGCGACATTTACAATATATGACTATTGCAAGTGTATTTATTACGAAATATTACATTATATTTTATATTTTAGACATATGTCATTATTTGTTAAATAAGACAAATTGTCAAAGCGATTAAAATAGAATAAATATTTATGATTTTATTTTCTAAAATCTATGTAAAATTCATTCATAACATTTCTTTGATTGGGTATTATTTATATTAACGACAATTACGTGATTTGAAAGTAGATCCAAGACAAAAGACTAGAATATACTAACTCACTTTTCTCCTCATAACTGTTTCTTTTGAAGAATTATAAATATGCAATATTGTGTTTGGTACTCTGAAAGACTAGATTTTCAACCACGATGTTCTTACTCTCTGCTCGTGTATACATAAAATATGTCAGAGAGAATGGAGTACAGAGTCAGTGACACCTCTTCATTGAAAATCCTACCACCGTCGTTTCACCGGGTCCCTCCATCGCTGGAGGTGAGGACCTTGATGCCGGGTCTGTTTCGTCCTCCGTCGTCCATGCCGTCGCCCGACAGCTCGGGCGCTGTCTCCACAGACAACCTCGCGCTTGCGTCCACACCTCTTCAAAGTCCCACTGGTGTCTCTGCCGCTTTGGCTTCAACCGCCGCTGCAGCTCCATCACAATGCGGCTGCCCCCGCCCCCGCCCAGCGCGCTCCGCTGCCGCTCCCCGAGCTCCCGCGCCAACGACAGCCCCC